AATACTGATACTACTATTATAACTGATGGACTGAAGTGAATAATAGAACGATAAGAGTGAATGAAATTGACTGAATGATAAGGATAGGCTAGCTAATTGATTAAAGGAGATAATTATAGTTGAATTAATTTTCTTATATAGTTTGTAGCATATTATTTATCTTTTGCTTGCATTGATTTCAGTTTTGAGATTTTGGTTACTTATCAGGCTATATGGTCATTATGTAATTTTATATAATTTCAAGTAAAGGTAAGGAACCTGTTGTTTAAGGCTTTGTAGTAAAGATGTTTTGACTTTATTTTTAAATTCTTTGGTTTTAAGTACATTCTTTTGAAGCCTATATTGGCTATTGTGTATATTATTTAGACAAAGGTAGTAGAATGTAAATATTAACTATAAAAATGTAATGATAGTTTTCTTACTATTACTTGTTTTCTTTAATACAATTAATCAACTCTGAATACCAAATTGATCTTGTTGTTAATTGAAAGAAAAATAATATAATGAAAAGAAAAGATAATAAAAGGAAAAAATAAAAGAAGTTATTCCACTTTAGTTTATAAGGTGTGATAGTATCGACTCAGTCAATCCATATGCAGAATAATATTAAATTCAAAAATATGTAACAATATTAAATCATATCTACATTTCTTACCATAAATTTTTATGTTATGGAAGCATACCATACTGGCTACCATAGCATCCCCAGTCAATAACATAATAGATAAAGTAGAAGGTAACAAAATGGAAGTCATGTATAATAAATCAAAGTATCTATCAAAAATAAATAAGTGACTTGATCAAGAATTAAATAAAATATAATAAAGCAAATCAAAAACATAAGTCATGCATATAACCATATCTAGAACATCTCTAGCCTTATGTTGAGTCAAACTATATACATGCGCCTGAACTAAAGCTGGAGCCACAAAATTATCAGGCTCTCTTTATCCACTTCCACGTCGCGGACAAAAGTATAGATTTTCCATTCATGCACTTATACCCCTAAGACTTGCTTTAAAATTGATTCAAACATCCACATGCATATAGTACACTCACCGACACATGCAAAAGGTGTAAATTTCAGTGGATTAACCTTATCAGACCAAGTCAAAACATGTACAACTGTGTAATTTTCACTAGGTATTACAAAATCACTCATCTTATAAAATATATCAAGAACTAGAAAAAGCTATACTAATCTCTTGAAAGTTTAGGTAAATATGTGACAAACAAAGAAGAGGGGAATATTTGGTGTGGATGCACTTTAAATTTCTTTCAATATTCTCTCAACTCAAATCCTCACACTCAAAAACACATAAACTAATAATTAACAATTAAATATAAAACCTAAATACACATACATCTACATCAACATCAAACTTTTCTCCCACTACATAAAACCTTTTTCTTGATTGTATCCTATAAAAGTCAAATTCTCATCTAAGCAATTAATCAAGTGATGAACAAGAAAATAAAACAAAACTATAAAGATTTAAATAGAAATAATCTTATATTGTTTGACGCTGAACCAACCTACGTGCACCATGCTTAATCCCACGATTATTCAAATTCTACAACCCAAACTTCTTCACTCAATGAGAGGGTATAAAAACCTTCATAAATTTTATTTAAAGATCAAGGAAAGTCATTTCTTATTCTATTTCAAGGATTCATTTGGGACAACTTATGTATTGTTAAATATAAAAATTTTCTTTTTCTTTTTTTTTTTTCTTTTTTTTTTCTATATATATATATATATATAATGTTTTAAAAGCAATCAATTAGTTTTTTAAAACTACCAATTCATCCCCCCCCCTT